CGAGTAATGAGCAAGTTTTATTTAAGCTATCAAGATTACCTCCAGCGATGTAAGCAATGAAAAAAAATTAAATGATGATCTAATTTTCTCAGCCTAGTCTAGAACTCTGTCGTATTATTATAATAAAGTATAATCAGAAATTATTTAAAAACTTATTCTTGTTTTCGTACTTGAAAAATAGACTATTGGCAGGGAATAACATAAGCGCTATTCCGATATCGTTTTTAAAATGGAATATTTATCTTAGAACATTGTAAGTGAATCTTTTGTTAATCGATCTAATAATGACCACTTAGTATTTAAAAGAGAATTTAAGTATGGCGTAGAATAAATAAGAATTAGTCTTACATTATCCTACCGGAACCGTATCTAAATTTATGAAAAAGTATGATAAACCATATGAGAGTACTTTATATTAAATGATGCTGTCCATTATAAACTTAACTAGTATAAGTAGAGCACAGCTAGGATATTGCGATTATTATAATAGCAGATAAATTTTATTTAACACGAATGTTTAAAATTAGTTAAGAATTCTGTGAAAGTTATTTATTGCAATTAAGCTATACTTGAAGCCTAGTCTTACGACTTTTCATTGTTTAGGTCCATTAGCAGCAACAAAATGTCACTATCTGCCATTAAACAAACCATGCGTGGCCTTTATATTGACGATGGCTGCATACCGCCATTAGTCTATAACTACGGAGAATATTACAGATGCCATCATTATTCGCTGTAAGTAAACAATATGTCCGTAATTTTTATAATACAAATAACTTACATATAATTGCGCAAATCTTCTCGATAGGACTTGACTTCTTTTCAGTATCTAGAATATTCTTACCTCGAATGACTAATCTCATCATTTATTTTTATGCAAAACTGACTTGATCAGAGACTTGAGCGACTGTGGACTGAATAAAATTCCTTTGGATATTTTTATCCATCTTCATGGCTTTTTAAAAGTCTTGTAAGTCAATTTAAGTGGCAACAATTATCATATATAGTTTCTTTAACCTAAAACGTTGAAAGAATCTACGAATAGGACTATAGGTATTTCATTTTTTTATCTGATTTCTTAATTAGCTTCCATTATATCAAATTTAATTTTGATGTATTGATAGTAATATTTCTATTTTCTATTTCATCGTATTACATTTTAATACTTTAATACATTTATAACAAACAAAGCCTATTAACCATTGAACAGTAAAATTTCTTACAATTAATTCAATTTTGAATACACGAGCTTATAAAAGTAAAAATTTCATATTATCATCCACAGTTAATTTTAAGACTAATGAGAAATATACGAATGTTTTCATTTACAACTTATGTTCATAGCCTGCTAGTAACTCACAAATTCAATGAGTACTATAATTTTGAAGGATATCAACGTTTTGATTTTCTTCAATAATATCCTAAAAATTGTTACGGAAGTTTATTGGCATCGTTTCTTTACTGGATAATTCAATGTGAGATTATCAACTGAATCAGTTGAAATACCATTAAACATCCAAAATAGGAATAAGTGTCATTTATCTTCTGCCATGAAATCTGTAACAGGTTGAAGATACCTAAAATGCTAATTTCCGCCGAAATTAGAGCATCAATTACAGCGCACCCTTATGCTAGTACCTGATATTTCAATAATTATACAGCACTATAATGCTAATGATAGTCTATATTTCAAATTTTATTTTAATCTTCCATATTAAAATATTTTCCTTTCCACCTTATTGAGCAACAGAACACTCAATAATAACAACATCGAAAATATGGATGCGTCAGCCATATTTCGAGATAGTGATCACAATTTACGAGAACTGTAAGTTCATTTATAAGCTATTCTTTCACTTAGGTATCGTTGACAGGAATGCAACCTTTGCTGAAGTTAAATTTCTTTTGATGCAGAACATCATTTAAATAAAATATATATTATCATTATTTTATCTATTGCTTCCTAGATAACATCGTAATGACATGCAATAAATGCTAAGTATTGACTGAATAGCTATTAAATTCCAATGTAGGCATTTGGCCAATAACAAAATATTGAACTTCACGAATTCTAATAATATACAATTTAATGCATTAAAGATACTGTAAGTAGCAAAAGTTTGCTCTATATAAACTTTTAGACTGTGAAAATGAAATAATGATAGTCTGTATTTTTTCGAATTTCGTCAATTATTCAGAGACGTCGCTAAAAACCGGCTAACTGATATTTGCGGAAGATCAGATTTATTAGGAATCGCACCCTATGTATTCGATATGTAAGTATTCGTTTCTTAATGATTTTTAACCAAGTAGCTATAAATATGTTAATTATCTGTGGTTTATACGTAACTACAGATATTTAGATTTCAATCAAATCCGAGTTTTAAAACCAAGATGTTTTGGAACCCTATTCAAGCTACAGAAACTGTAAGTACTATTATCGCTAAAATTTATGGAGCGAGATAACTACTCACAATTACAGTAGTTTAATAGCCTCACTGCTACTACGATATAGCTCTTGGCATAAGAGATAATGCCGTACCTCACCATTTCATCATCAGCTACGGCCCATTTGGATACTTTATTTTATGCGAACCATTACAAATAGATAACTGTTTAAGTGATGCACTGTGTATGAAATAAACTTTGTCGTAATTTAAATTATTCAGTTTACTTAGATTAAATATTGTACTATTTCTAATCTCATTCTCTCTAAGATCAATTAAATCGAATCCATTAGTGGCTTTAAAGGAAGTTTCATTTTATGGCTCAGCTACCTTAGGCGCGGTGTAAGTTAGATGACCATAAACATCTGATTTTGTAGATTTAATCGAAATTTTATTATTGTTAGTTACCGGTACTGATCTAGAAGTACTCGCCAAATTTGTTACCGAAATCAGTAATATCTCAAAAAATTATCAGTTAAAGCTTCTATATAATAAGTTAAAATTGAAATATTGAAAGAGTTGCATTAATAGTTTGAATAAAATCGTACTTCGGTGGATTAACACGAATTAAACGTCGCTTCTGCGGCGATGCATGAAAAGATCTCAAATTGAGTAAACTTTACCCTTTCATATAACTATCCTAAAGCTAATTTCTTACAGATATGATTGTTACAATTAAATATTATAGTACTTCAAGAACATTTGTAATCAATGTTAATATTAACTATTCATTTTGTAATTTCTTATTTCATTTGGACGATTAAATATCGGCATGTTAGAGATTCTACTCGCGCATATTTATGCTGCATTGTTCCTGCAAAGATTACTACCTGCTCGCCATCTCCTGATTTAGATTCTGCTTCAAGTTGTGAAAATATTCTTGCTCATACGACTTTACAATTAGCTGTTTGGATTATGGCTATCGCTGCGTTCATTGGAAATATAATGGTCATCGCCAATAATCGTTCTGATAAAACTCGCAAAACGAGCAAAGCTACTGAATTAGTCTTCACGAATTTAGCATTGTCTGATTTCTTAATGTCAATATATCTAATTATCATTGGAATCGGCGATTTCGTATATCGTGATCGTTATGCTCACAATACTGAAGAATGGCTTAGAAGTCCTACTTGCGTCATAGCATCATTTTTAATATGTACATCAAGTTTAATGTCAGTTCTTATGATGTTGTTTATAGGCATCGATCGTTACACAATTACTTCAGATCCCTTTGCATCATCGGATACAAGATATAAAAGGACTAAAATATTACTCGTATTAGGATGGCTACTAGTAGGAGTTTTCGTAGGCATACCAGTTTTTATGAGTATTAACCAACCCGGCGACAGGCGTCTATATCAGTTAAGTTCAATTTGCTCTCCAAGTAATTTAAGCGATCGATTCTATGCTAGTTGGACAATTTCATTTGTAGTAATTCAACTTTTATGCTGGATTTTAACTTTAGCACTTTATTTAAAATTAGTAACTATAGTAAGTAAAACGCAGCGTTCTGTTCGAAGTAGTGCTCAATCACGCAGTTTTGCCGTTGCTATTCGGATATCACTGATCATAATAACAGATTTATTGGCTTGGCTACCAGTTTATATTATTTCCGTTATGTCCATCGCACAAGGCACCCTAAATATATTCATTCTACAATTTGCTGTCATCTTAGCTATTCCACTGAATTCGGCTATTAATCCATATATTTATACGGCTACTGGAACGGCTTGTTTTTATCGCTTAACAACAACTAAGAGCAAAAGAAATTCAATGTACTATTCAGCAACACGAAATACTTCTATGAATCAGTTTACAACTAATATCAATAAATCGAAGTTTACTAGTACTAATCGGCTTTCTAAATATGAGACTGTGATTAACGATATTGATGATCGTATTCCTGAAAAACTAGACGACAGCAATCAAGACCTTAATGAAGTTACTAACAATCAAACTGTTCAAGTAGTCAATAAGAAAGAACATAGTTCTCATTCTACACAGCCCATCGTCACTGTAATATATTATGCTCATAATGTAGGCTTCTTATTAAGTATCCGGCGAAGTAAAAACTGTAGCACAGTTTCGTGCTTAGCTGCTAATGTATTAGCTATCAACGGCGATCTGGACTCTTCTCGTGATACAAATTTAAAAAATTGCATCATGATTGATGTTAGTAACTTCTTGCAGATTTATAAACTGGAAAAAATAACTTGGAAAAGTGAAGAAACCGATGCAGCCGTAATTAATACCGGTATTATAAATCCTGCATTTGATGGGAATGATGATTGGAATACTAAGTTTGCTAAAAATAGAAAAGATATTTTAGCAATAAGGACTGATATAAATCATCAAGCATGTGATCGCATTGACGGAGAAGAAGACAGTGTGCAACATAATCAACTAAGTAATGTTCAGTATAGGAACGCAGGAGTACAAGGTAGGTATTATCCTCCTTTATTTCTTACTAGAACAAAATAAATCATTGTTGTAATGGAAGTTATTTTTCATTTATTACCAGATGAACAAGATAGAAGAAGTAAAAATTCCATTGTAAGAAGCAATTCTTGGTAGTTCCTAAACAAAAATGATACTACTACTATCAATGGTTGACGTATAATACTTAGGAAAAGTTTTCATTTATTTAATTATGATATTTACTATTATTCTGCACTCAATATGACTGTAACTCGTACATACTTAGTAATAATATTAGGTTGCCTTTAATGTAATCATATTCTCTTTTTCATATCATGTTGGGTATTCTTTTCGATTAATTAGATTAATGTTCAATGCAAATTCCCCAAATTTCTTGCCGATAGCATTATCATCAACACTGTTTCCTTCGGTACCGATGATATTTACTATTCTATAACCTTTCTAATACTATTTCATAATAATAAATATTCATATTTAGCTCTTAATCATTGTAGTGATGCACCTCATATTTGATTTCACCGATAGCTATGTTTAAAGTAGCTTAGAAGAAGGTTGATTATTAATGTAGTGTATTTAGAATATACTGTAACTATATTCTACTCTTAAATATAGACATGTTGTATTGCTCTTATATTTAGACATATCTGCAGTCCGCTTACTTCACATTCATATATAGGCTACTGTATTTAGTTATTACAGTACTCGCTGTTTGCTACAATCATCAAATATGTTGTAACCTGTTATGGTATATGTTGTATCTAAATCTACAATCCTATTCTTTGCATGCGTTCTATCTTTAAGCTATAAACGTCGCCCTTTTCCACCTCAGAAATCGTTAGTTTCCTGGTTAGTCTTCGCAGGTTACTCACGACAGCTTGCACGCTGGTCTACCGTAACTACCTCACTGTACTTACTTAACTACTTAAAATAAAGTATAAGTTTTATACAACTTTTGGTGTACTAAATGTAAATGGCAACTAAATCTCAATCCTCTGAGATATCGAACCCTACATCACAAGTAATATTATTCATTACAGACTATTGGTAGTATACTCCTATCAAAATACAAGGCCAAGTCTGGGTGAATAGCTATAGAATAATTGTGAAGATGCTTGACCCTTTACATTCTAGGACATTAATAAATAAGTAAATACATCTTAAGTAAACAGATTCAAACAATGGCAACATTGATTGCTCACATGAAGATAAGTGTTGCATTCGTTTATTTTATTCTAATTGTTAGCCATTTTTTTTGTGGTAAATTGATTGATTTTAAACTATATGGGAGATACAAATAAGAGGCTCGTAATTGGTTCGAGTTCATTGTTAATAATTCAATATTACTTGACTGTTCTATAACCCTGCAGTAATTGTTTTTATATTCTGTCTTAACTTTGACAATTATTTTGTGATAATTAGGGTTTTAGATAGATCAAGGAGTTGGATATTTTCATTTCAGTAACAGGTTAAGTTCCTTATTATGACCTGCTATTGTTTTGTAATTTTTATATGGTAGAATTTTTTTTTTTATTCGATATTTATGGAGCAGTTTAAATTTTTATAGTGTTTTGCATTTTGAATGTAGTTGTGTAAAAATAAGTGTTACAATTGCGTTAAAGTTTTAGCGAGCAATATTGAGTACCGTTACACAAATACGAATTTAATTGCCGATATACTTATGAACCATTTACTTTTAGTCACTATATTTGATAACATTGACCTATAAGTTTGCATAGGTTCCTTTTTACTTTTTTGCTGCGAAATAATATTCGTAGATAAATACTTATCATATTTCGATAGAGATCGTAAATTGGGTGGGTAATAGTTGATAATAACATTTTTTTGATACTTACATTCTGGTATAGCCAACTGCTTAGGCCTATAATGTTCATTTACCGACACCTAGTAATTAATACGTATGCAAATTTAACACTAAATGGTATATTTTCAAAGAAAGTTTCAGATCAATTTCGCCTAAGGAGACGAATAGTTTATTGACATCCCACAACGAAAGAGGAGATCTTCGGCATTTACTGCTGTATTGCAAGACAGATGTTGGAAGGACTCGCCTGTCAGCAGGCTTGTAATGAGTAATTCCTATTCTGGAATTTTAAGGTCCAGCTTATAAATTTAACAGAAACAGATTCTGTTTGTTAATTTTTTGTAATTAATTAATTAATTATCAATTTTTATTTATTTAATTTCCAATTGCTTCATAAGAAATCAGCTAGAACTTGGATAAACCAATAGCAAGTGATAATAGTAGGCATTTAAAATTGATTATATATAAACAATCACAAAATATTCGATAAAAGGATCATTTAAGCAACGAAAATTTGTTTCAGGACTGTTAAGGCCAGGGATAATCAATGTTCTGTAGTGTAATACACTTACATGCCAAGTTCGTAAATATATTTTGAAAAATATGCTTAGCATTTGTGATACGATATTAAAGTCAAATATGCTTGAAATTTTATTAAATTCAGGGATCACATTTTCTATCAACGATATATACTGAGTAATAATGAATAGCTATTTATTATTAAGGTTTGCAATCCATAAAAAGGAATCTGAATTACTAGAATAAAACATTCTCTACTACGGAATAAATGCGCGAGCACCGCTTTTAACCTTAAAAATATTATTTACCATGACTCCGTCTGTGGGAGAAGAAGCTACTTTTAGTCTTCTAAGAAGAACTATAGAAAAATAGCAAAAACAGCCCAGATAATCAAGTTATTCAAATCTCCATCAACAATTCCGTAAAATGTAAACAAAAGACAATCAAATACTCCTTTAAAATATTCTACGCTGAAACTAAGATTCGTATTAGCATATGAAGAAACAGAACTATGCATGACTGTCATTTACCGCTTTTTATGTGCACAGTGCGATAAACATATGTACAATATTTCATTATACCAGCCATCATTGTAATTCCTTTTTTGAGGACGGCGACTATTCTACGTCACATGGCGCTTTAACTCATATTAACTTTGTACTTTTGTGATAAAATCTGATCACGAAAATTCCAAAGTTGTAGAAAATTAGAAGAACTTTATTAGATCTAATACAAAGACTAACCACACACAAATCTACTCTAGCCAAATATAACTACTGAAAGAATTTTAGAAAGAATAATCAGATAATCAAATGTCTCCTGTTTTTATACTCCCAGTAGCCTGCGCAGCTAGAATCATCATAACAGCATTCTACCATATTTTACACATATGTAGCTTATTATTAGTCACAATATTTTACAGCGAACCATCAGTAATCCAATATGGAAATGATTGCAGTATTTTCGTAGATATTATTCCTACCAGTCAAAGTAAAATGAACTAAGCATATCCTGATACATGATTTACAATTCTATTTCTACCTCTAACGTTATTAGTGGCTCAACATCTTACTGTATATAAACATCTGTGCTCTAGCATAGAGTTTATCCTTACAGTCTATAATTATGGGCTACTAAATATATCATAAGACAAATATAGAAACCACACTACCGTACTTCAACCTAAACATGGCTAATGGCCTACAATCACAATACTAAGTTACTTTACAACTTTACATAAAATTTATGATAACATGCACATTTTTTCTATGCTATGAAATTTATTGCATTAAGAGTCACCATTATCTTCAGAAATGAATAATTTCAAGTGTAAAACGTCATAAAAACATATGTTGCCTTATAAATATTTATATAGTTTATGAAATTATTACGTACCTGGCTGCGATTCTATAAACCTTGTGGAGTATTTGCAATACGTGGCAGTAAATCAATTATCTTTTGTCAAATTATTCTGATAGTAAAGTACAGTATTTTGTTTGAAATTGTTATTTCAATCTGTTATAATAATTATTAATTAGGAATAATATCTATTTTGCGATATCGATAACAATTAATTCGAAAGCTGTGCACGTATTGTGTTGACTTAATTTTATTTTTCTGGATCATTAACATCGATTATAAGAACGAGCTATTGTATAGCGTTCTATTAGTTTTTCACTACAGCGCCTCTTTGTTTCTCATTTGATTCTTTAATTAGGATTTGAGGTCAAAAATGATACTATAATGATTGAAGTATATCCGCTAGATTAAAATTAATTTAATTATGAATAACATTATTATTATCTAGAAATTTCGCAAGATCATGCAAATTCTTTGGCTGATAAATTTCTGCATAATTTATCCTTACAAATTTTACAAGTTCTTTCTTATGATAAACTATTGCCTTTTCTTTAATATCCACTTCGCGTTAAAGCAG